GTGGTCCTTTGCTGCGAGATTTTAAGAAATGAGGGTTTAGGATTGGAATTTAGCGTCTGGCCGTTGAGACCATTTGGGCACCCTTTCTCTTCCACATGGTGGAAGATGATGTTTTCCATGGACGCATCGACCCAAGCCCCTGCAGGCGAAGTCCAAGCAATTTCACCTCAACTTGCGCGGAAATCTTCAAGAGCTGTCAGGGTCCATGGTCTTACATTTTGCTAGTTTCAGCCGGTTCGCTTGCCTATGTTTTTGCTTTGGGTTGGTCTCAGCCTGTTCATCTGATTTCCGTGAAGAAATGTTCCGCAAGGATCCCCGAAATTCAGCACTGACACTTTTGGAGGACCCACCGCCCTCGCTGTGCCACAACAGGGGGGTGGGAGCCAACCCCCGTTCCAGAGTGTTTGCACCTCTCTGTCCGACTTCCTGGACAACAACCTCGCTCCAATACTTGAAGGAAGTGGACCTCATTCAGTCCCGCCTCTGCAAAAGCCTCGGCCTCGACGGCGCCTGCTTCGGATCCTGTGGTGGACCCCGGCTCCCACGAAGCCGCGCCGGCCACGCTTCCCAAAGAAGTCAAAGGATCCTCCTGCAAAGTGAAGCCTGCCGCGAGCCTGCCTGCGCATGCCTCCTTCCAACGTGCTCGGCCTCAGCCTCTTGCACCGCTGGGCTTTGATACAAGAGTCACCTTTGCTTCCTGGACCGGGCGCCTTCTTCGCTCCGTCCTTCGGTCCCGCGCAACGTTTGCGGGCTTTTTGTGTTCTACTTTGCACTTGCCCAGGCTCCCGCCTGATCGGCCTTACGTGCGCTCCGGCAATTTGTTCCCTTTGCCGCCCTTGCTTCCACAGGCGCTTATGCCAAGCTTGAGGCGCCCAGGTCGCGCTACCTCCGTGAGGTCCGAGGCGACGACAGCCCGGGCCAGGATGACCTGCGGCCACTTCTGTTCTCTCCTGACTCCGTTGTGGTTTGCTTCGCCGCCATTGCTCAGGGGAACCAGCTCGGAGAGTTGAATTTGCTTGCGAGTCGCATTTCAACCTCCTCCGCCAGGCCGGCCTCCTTGCTGGCGATGCCTGCCTTTCTTCGACCCTGCCCTTTCGAGGGCAAAAGCGCGCCGCAGGGCTGGTGATAGACGATTACTTTTGTGTCTCCGTTGAACGGCGCGCCCTTCTCAAGAACCTGCCTGCGTCTCTGCCCTTAGGGTCGCCAAAGAGGCCTACGCCCTCTATGGACTACAGGGGTCTGATGATAAGGATCAATGGGGCCTGGAGTTTAGCAAGATTGCCGGAGCAGAGCTGACCTGCCAAGAAGAGGGCCGCTTTGTCGCTCATCTCTCTTGAGGTGTCTGCTTTGTCACACACGTACCTCCCATGCCTTGCACCTCAGCCTGCTTGGGGGTTGGACTTCTACCCTCCTCTTTCGGAGGCCTCTTATGTCTGTGCTCGCCTGCTCCCATGGCCTTGTCCGGGCCCAAGCTTGTTGGACTTCCGCGCGAGGTCGCGCAGGAGTTGACGCTCCTGGCTGTCCTGGCCCCCTTGACCTCGAGTGAACTGTCGGACCCCTGGATGGCACCATCTATGCTACGGACGCGTCCGAGAGCAAGGGCGCCTTTGTCACTGCTGAGGCTGGCCTTCCGCTTTCTCGCGTCCTCTTCCGGGCTGGCTCTAAGAAGGGTGGGTATTCGCGTCTGCTTGCGCCTGAGGAAGCCCTTCTCTCCAAGCTGTCTGACCCTGAGCCTTTTCAACTGAGGGCTGTCGATGCACCGCCTTTGGGGATAGAAAGGCCTTTGGCTTTTGTCTATGACTTCATAGAGGTTTGTGGTGGTAGTGGCCGCATCTCTGCGAGCTTAAGGCTCGTGGCCGTGCGTGTGGCCCTGTGCTTGACATTTCTCATAGCCCTCACTTCAACCTCTGCTGGTTGCGCACGTTGGAGTGGCTCCTTTTTCTTCTGGAGAACTTTCGACTCCGCTCGTTTGCAGTCGAGCCTCCCTGCGCTACGTTTTCTCCTGCGGCCTTCCCGGCCCTGCGCTCCTACAAAGAACCCCGAAACTACAACCCCCTTGAAGGGCGAACGCTCCACGGCGCCACTTTGGCTCTGAGGGCCTTGACTCTGCTCTTTGTTTCCCTCCGGCTGGGGGTGCCGGGCATTCTCGAGCAGCCCCGAAGGTCAAAGATGGCCTGGCTTCCTGAGTGGAAGTGTCTTCTTGAGCTTGGCGCGACTGAGGCCTTCACCGCCTCCTGCCCTTTTGGCAGCCCGCGCCAGAAAGAGTTCCGCTTCTTGCAGGTCTGCGTTGATCTGGCGCCGATCTGCCGACCCTGCGCCCGGGACCACGAGCATGTGCGAATCCAGGGCAAGTGCACAGCGCCTTCGGCCAAGTACACCCCTCTCCAAGCCATCGCTTCCGTCTTTGACGAGACCCTCCGAGGCAAGGGCTCTACGCGCAACCTGCTTGCTGTCAGGGCCGACGGCCTTGAGTCGCTGCTTGCCAACGACGTTGCCTTGAACCTCGACTGGACTGAAGGGAAGTCGTGGCATTGGAGAGGTTGCTTAGGTTGCTCTCACATTTTGGAGTCCTCCTCTCTGCTCCGCCTCTGCCAGCATTTAGCCAAGAAGGGCCCTCGCCGTGTGGTTGTGCTCATAGACTACTCTGTGGCCTTGAATTCGGCCGCCAAGGACCACAGCCCCTCACGTACTTGCCCCAGTCCTCCGCAGAATCGCGGCTACCTGCGTCGCTGCTGGACTTCGTGTCTCCTTCCACTTCTGCCCGACTTGCCTGAATCAGCAGACTGCCCTACAAGGGACAGGCCGCTTCCCGAGCCACTTGGCCGGTCCATTGCCTCCCGCCTGGACTCGGGCAGCCTCTACGAGCTTGCTACCTTGCCAAAGCTCCGCAGATGGGCGGCCAACGGGGCTAGTTCGCCTGCTCCGCCCACGCCTCCGGCGCTTCAGCCTGACTGTGGTTGGCGCTCGCTGCGGCACAGCAGCCGGCTTTTCGATTCTAGTTTAGGTTTTCTTGGGGAGGGCCCGAGGGTTTCTAGGCTCGGGGTTCTGCTCTGCCTGCTGCTTGTAGCTTGCTTCCCTTCGTGCCATGGCGCGCTGGTTCCCAGAGACGCTGCTGACAGGAAGAGACAGGCTGCCAGGACTGGTGCTACGCTGCCTTCTGGAAGACCCGTCGAGCGGCCCACCCAGGACCGACGCGACAAGCTGCTTAAGGCTTTTGAACGCTGGCTCGCTACACGTGGCGGCTCTTTGGATGACATATGTGGTATTGGCCGGCAGTTTGTCGCCGAGGCCAATAAACAGCTGGCTGATTATGGTCGCGAACTGTTTCGAGCTGGATGGCCTTATTCTCACTTTTCTGAGGTTATAAATGCTGTCTCGTCGCGGGAGCCGAGTCTCCGCCGCTGCCTTCAGCCTGCCTGGGACGTAGCCTTTGCGTGGCTGAGAGAGGAACCTCATACTCATCATGTTGCCTTGCCTTGGCAAGCCCTGCTTGCAGTCATTGCTACAGCTCTGATTTGGGGGTGGCCTAGAACGGCAGGCTGCATTGCGCTGACTTGGGGCGCTCTCCTGAGGATCGGGGAAACCTTGGCTGCCACCCGTGCCGACCTTCTGCTCTCCGGTGACGTCGAGGATACTTGTGGCTATGCTTTGCTCTCCATCGCTGAGCCCAAGACGCGGTTCAAAGCTGCTCGCCATCAAGTTGCTCGACTGGACCAGCCAGCCGGACTTACTGAAGTTGGTTGTGCTCGCCTTTAAGGACCTGCCGAAGGAGGCTAAGCTGTGGCCTTCTTCTCCCTCTACCTTGCGCAACAGGTATGCCGCCTTGGTCAAAGCGCTCGGGATGCGTCAGCTTGACATGCCTTCTGGCAAACAGCTAGACCTCGGCTCCTTGCGGGCGGGTGGCGCAACGTGGCTGTTGCAGACATCCGAGGACTCTGAACTTGTGCGTAGACGAGGCAGGTGGCTGAACTCGAGAACAATGGAGATTTATATTCAGGAAATTGGAGCTTTGATATTTATGCACCGGCTGAACCCTCGAGCAAAGCAGCTCGTGTTTGGTGCCCTTGGTTCGTTTGCTGGTGCAGTTAAATGGGCTGAGATCTTTCTTCGTGCGGGGATTCACTCAAAGCTCTGGTTCCAACTTTTCTGCGGAGGAATTGCTTGAGGAGTGGGAGTTGTGGGAGAAAGTTGGGGCTGACGCTTCTTACCTTGCATACAGCTTACGCAGTGCAAAAAGGCGGCGCAGCCGAGACAGCAACTGTTGTTGAACACCTGTCCTGCAGGTGTGATTCAGAGGTTGCATCCGCTCAAACCCACCCGCCGCACCCGCGTCCTCCCAGAAAGTTGGGGCTGACGCTTCTTACCTTGCGCGCAGCTTACGCAGTGCAAAAAGGCGGCGCAGCCGAGACAGCAACTGTTGTTGAACACCTGTATAAGGCTTTGTGATTCTTCGTGGCGAATGTTG